AGATGCTCTTACATGTTTGTAAACCGGAGGTTCGTTTTATTTACGGAGTGAATTTACAGAATCCACGGATTTCCGTTGTCTAATGTTAGAAATTGGAATGTTAGTAAGTTCACTGATGCTATTATGCTATTACATATTTATAGAAATATTTGTTTTTTGTTTTTTAAGAACCTGCTTGATAAACGGCAGATGACATTTTGCTATTTTTGGTTGTAAAGGTGAGACAACACGACCTTTCTATTTGCTTTATTTTTATTGCTTGATGTCTCATCCCATGCGATCTAACATTTAGAACTGTCGCCTGGAGAATTTCAATTACTAATCCACTTCGGATTGCGTCATAGTAATATTTTTCGATTTTTTTATGCACTTCCATGAAACATGATTTATGGCGCGGCGCAAATGTGCAACGCTCGTTAATAATTAAAACGTGCTCAATTCTAATAAACATAGTGATAAGGAAAATGTGCGTTAATAAACAAGGTAGGAATAGTTTTGCACAAAATATATACCGTTTTATCGTTCACCCCGAGGTTTAGTACAGGATAAAAAGATTTATCAATATTGTTATTTTATCTTAATGAGTTTAAATGCAGCAAAAAAAAATGATTTCTTTATACAAAGTAGTTGGGGTAGTTTTCGCAATTGTTCATTGTTAAGGTTACATACTATACTTTCTGGGTTTTAATGTTGTTGTTTCCCTGGATTCTTTCCTGAAGTAGACTTTTTTAAGTTAACAAACATTTGTCGTCAAGTTAGAATCATCGAGCCTCCCTAAATGGAACAAATGGTAACTAAATTAAATTAAATGTAAAGGTCACGTCTGAGTCACATTTATGTCTCGACATGAGCAAATCTCGGCCAAATGTGGGAGGATGGAGTAAGTGTTATTTTTAAAAATATACACAGTCCCAAGGTTTCGTTTTAAAGACTACTGTGATTCATGTCACTGGAAAACCGGCTGCTTTAAGGCTCTCGCGATGGGAAGAAATGTTTTTGTTTTTCTGGTCGGTGTCGGTAGTAAAAAAGGTTTCCATTCCAAAAAAGACCATGTGAGCCGATCGTACGATTTAATTGGCTGGTTTAACTAATTTTATACAACGGCGTTCGTTATGATTGCCCATAAATGGAAAATCGTGACCATTGGGGTTATTTGAGGTTTAAAAATGGCATCATCAATGAGTGAACTTTAAAAAAAAATCAAACTGAAACTGTATGTTAAATTACTCAAACCCGCGAGTGAAGACCTATGCCGGTTCAGCGTGAGTTCCCCAACTTGCAGACTAACACCCATCCTAAAAGAGAAATGTCGTGTTTTAATATTCATTAGTATCACTAATAATTAATATCACTGTGCCGATATCTATTTCATATTGACATATACCAGGACTTAAGTTTCACAAACCAGCAGGCCATATTTGTTATTCTTGTTCATAATTTATTAACATATAATAAAAAAATTTTAAATTGGCAATGTTAACTTTGTGTGCTTAACTATAGATCTATACATTTTGTTTAACTTCACTAGTTTTCGTGGTCCGCTTGACCAATTAATATTTTTCAATTAATTAAGGTTTTAAGTTGAGATAAAAAAGTCAGTGTCACGAGCGGGATTCGAACCCACGACCTTCGGCTAGATACCCCGCTACTCAAGTGGTAGAGTGTTTCCCTGAACAATTTTGTTGGCGGCGGAGGAGATTTTGGTTGTTTTATTATTTTCGTCAATACTAATTTAAAGTGCGACAGGCGGACTCATTCCAATTGTCACGTTGTAATGTTTATTCATTTTTATATTGTGTAATAGTTATTGCTATTATTACTGATCTAAAGTACATTAGATCTCAATCTCATATGACGCAAAAAAGTATGAGTTTCGTATTTTTCATTCGTTAAGTTGCAAATACACATAAAATAAAATACCTAATACAATAAAATAAAACCATTGTCTTGTTTCTTTCTTAATCAGTAAAAAGTTTTGATCAATTACGCTGTTATACAATACAATTTTTTTTTAAATTCCTCCTTATGCATTTATAACCCTTGTTGATCCTGGTTAATCTTTATTTTCAATCTGCTCATTACCTTTTTTTGTAAATTCCTCTTTATACATTTATAACCCTTGTTGATCCTGGTTAATCTTTCTTTTCAATCTGCTCATTACCTCCGATTAGCAGTTCGTCCAAATTCATATGCATATAACAATTATCTGGTTTAAACGGTTGACAATAGATTCTGCCATTTAATCCTCGCCCGTTGAATATACTGCACTGGAGAAATAAGATTTTTAAAAAACTCCGAAAGTGTGTAAACTATGAAGTGTTACATGAGAATCGAAACTGTGAGAGAGAGCTAGATAAAAATGATTTCCACATGTTTCTTCCGGATATAGGCCAGGAAATGTTTTTCTCCCCTTCTTCAACCTACAATAAATAAAAAAATCCGTGAGAATTACTTTTTACCAAACTGAATACATTTTCATCCCTATCTGTTGTTGTCTGAATTCTTCAAAAGTGGGTGGCCAATGCACGTACGACGTTGGCCTAAAAAACGGTGAATCCGTGGGGTTCGATCGAGTACGGATCTTTTGTACGATAAAGATGAAACCAAAACGAAAGATTTTTTTTAGATATCAGGATTAGAAAATAACTTCATGACCGAGAAGTTTGTACTAGTATTTCACCTTTTTGTATCAAGAACCTCAATTTATCGATTTTTTCTTACAACAAGCAATTGGAGATTGTGTCGGCACTGAACAAATATTAACAGAGTGATTAGTGATTAGATTTCTGCGGTATCGATATATGTTTTTCGGTTAAAAATATCTTTGAAATAAGACTTTTTGTTTCAACTGTGATGTGAGGTGTACAATTTTTGCCTTCATAATCTTCACTCCCGCGGGCATAACTCTTGAAGAAAGTGAAAACCCGCATAATTACATGATCGATCTTAGAAGTGGAATTTCGATGTGACGTATAAAGAATTGCGTACCGATAAATTTTCCATTCCACCGAATAAATAACTGAACACAATTTTGTAGAAACGGTCGTGTCGTGAAACGTCCTCGTCATTTCGATTTTTTATGAAACTCGAGTGAGAATGAGAAAGACTTTGCATTGAGAAACCTCCAAAGTCCAAACAGCGAGAGTGCATCAGAGACGGTCAACAATATAGGAAGTACTTTCACACGCGGCCTTTATTTAAGAATGGAGCCAATTAGCTTTAGACCCATGTTTAGCTTTCTACTTAAGGCCCAATTTGAACAAAAGCAGTCAATTTAAAGCTTTTTGTACCTCGAGCTTGGATTAGGAGAGAAATTCCCTTTTATTTTTAGATTTTTGGTAGGATGTTTTGGTTTCTTTAAATTAACCTCCGGCTGCCTAAAAATAAACCACTTGCGTCTTTAGAAAAGTAGTATTATTGTTAAGATATGTGTAGTGATTAAAAGCACCCTGGTTGTGTTATTTTGACATTTTGGGCTATTTTCAAGAGAGTAATTTAACCATTTCGCCCACACTTGTTATTCGACGGCCCACTTCAAAGATTCGGTACTCCTTGCGGGACACCGCGCTCAATTAATTTTTCCTGGTCAACTTACAAAAAACGCAGGATGTCTTAATCCCGTCTAGGGGTCAGTTTCCTGAACATAGCCATATCACGAAAGGAGAAAAATTTCTAATATTTGTCTCTTGAACTGTAACGAGTGCTGAACAATTCGCTTTCTGGAGAGTAGATTATTATTTATGAGTCTATCTTCCGTTTAGTGAACCAACGCGGAAACGCGTTCCACGGTGAAGAGATCACTAAATATTTTACCTAAAATATTATACGATATGGATCTGTATTTAAGATAATGATTGAGGTCATCAACACGAACAAAACACTTGTTTTATCCCAAGCTTTCGGTTATATAGTTCATAATCATCACGACCCCGTTATAAAGATAAATGAAATATATGCCATAACAAAAGATAAAAACATCAATAAATAATTTAGTGTGAGTCAACTCGACAGGTGATTATTAAATATACTTGTGCGTATATTACATCATATTATGGCATAAAACAAGTGTTTTGTTCCTGTGGATGATCTCACCCTGATCCTAATAATAATTATTTTACCTAAGCTTGATATTGAATGTTCTCGTGGTTCGATAGTTTTGGCGTTTTGGACTACCTATATCTGAATCTCTCGTCAGTCCTGCCACTGAAGATAGCGAGAAGCCGAAACGCTTCTGACAGTTCAAAAAAAGCGAGGATGTCCGAACCAAAATGATCGGCCATGACTAAAATCATGTCCCTGAAGAACTCAAGAGAAAATCACAGAATTGTACTTCTGTCGATTATACCTGCAAGATGCAAGAACAGTCAATTATAACTTATAGGCACGTCTGGCTCGCTTGTTCTCGCTGTTACTCTCCATTTTTATCTGGTTTATAAACAGAAGGACATATAGAGGCGAGACATATCTTACGTTAAAGGCCCACTCGCGGAAGAATAATTTTCATCAAAGTGCTGACAGTCGAAAAGTTGTTTTTAGGTTTCTTCCTCTACAACGATTAAGATGAAATTCATATCAAATACATCTTTAAAAAAACGTTTCCTTTGACGTCCCATCATTCCAATTTACTATATTAATCGATAATGATATTCTTATATATTAGAAAGGTAATTTATACTAATATATTTGGATAGGATGCAGTAGTTTCGAAGAAATTGCACGATTTCGTACTGCAAATTTACAAACCTGGTGAGTTTTTCGAAAATGGATGTTGAATAACAATGAGTCATTTCCATTCTAAACAAGGATATCCTTCATGCAAAAACAATGTGAAAACAAAAGCATCTTATATTAAATGGACCACTACTCACAACCGTGAAAATTATTTGAAGCCAAGCGAAATGTTCGGGAACGGGAAATTCTGCTGGGAAACAAGTTTTGTTCAAATAAAACGTTTCCAGAATCAATATTATTTCAAGTTATTAACAATGTTTCTTTTTCAGATTCAACGCCGGCCATATTTATACATACATCGGAGAAGTATGCGTTTCTGTCAATCCTTACAGGACGTTGAATATCTACGGGCCGGAGCAAATCCAGAAATATAAAGGTGAGTTTTCGTTTAATACATCATCTTTTAATATAGAGCTTGATTTGTTTGAATTGAGGTGTATTTCGCATTGCAACACCATTTGCTTTCGAATAAATACGTAAGACTTAGTCATTTGAGATTAGTCATGCCCAAGTTGACAAAAGTCCTCCCATATAAAGAAGCCTTTATGAATAATTCATCAAATAGCCAGTTTGTTGTTTTGAAGAGAGAGGGTAATATCGCCTCCAATTAGACGACGTTAAAACGATCTTCACTTTTAATTACAAGTGATTTTCCAACGGAATACTCGAATAGAAACTATATTTCCGACTTTGTTCGGCTTTACTTGCAATTTTCACACCATTTTCAAACGTTATGGCCAATTGAGCATGTCAACATTTCTGTTTTTAATTATACGGCCTATTTATGGTTTGTTTACGTTGAATAACGGTCGAACGGTTGTAAAATGTATTAATGCCATATGGGCACGTCGTCATTAAAACCAAAACTAGCACATTAAGGCAGCACACGCCTTGCAGGGACATGTAAAGTAAAATTGATGAACCTTATTTACATGAAGTTTACTTTAACCAAAGTAAAAACTTCAATAGACTGTTTCATTTACATATTGAGCAAAAAAAGAAAAAAATACGATTTATTTAGTATAAATATTAAACTTCTAAATAAAACTAAATAAGATAATATCCTTATTCCACCATGTACTCAAAGGAACATCAAGATAGTTCAATTAACATAAAATGAAACATAATTGAGCAAAAAAGAAACAAATACGATTTGTTCAGTATAAATACAAAATACTTATCGTATTTAGAAATCGTGAGATGCGGTCTGGTGTGATGTAGGTTTCAGAAAAACATTTTCTTTATCGTGCCAAAGTTTCCATCGAGAGTGTCCACACGACACGCAAGAATGGCACAATTACACAGAAGGCAAACACTTTGAGACCTGAAGATGATCTGAATAAAGATCGAAACGTTGGCACGATAAAGAAAATGTTTTTCTGAAACCTACATCACACCAGACCGCATCTCACGATTTCTAAATAAATATACGGTCACTAATCACCACACATAAATATAAAACTTCTAAATAAAACTAAATAAGAAAATATCCTTATTCCACCATATACGCAAAGGTACATCAAGATAGTTCAATTAACATAAAGTGAAACATAATTGAGCAAAAAAGAAAAAATACGATTTGTTTAGTATAAATATAAAACTTCTAAATAAAACTAAATAAGAAAATATCCTTATTCCATCATGTACACAGAGGTACATCAAGTTAGTTCAATTAACATAAAGTGAAACATAATTGAGCAAAAAAGAACCAAATACGACTTGTTTAGAATAAATATAAAACTTCTAAATAAAACTAAATAAGAAAATATCCTTATTCCACCATGTACGCAAAGGTACATCAAGATAGTTCAATTAACATAAAGTGAAACATAATTGAGCAAAAAAGAAACAAATACATTTGTTTAGTATAAATATAAAACTTCTAAATAAAACTAAAGAAGGACATATCCTCATTCCACCATGCCCACAAAGGTACATCAACATAGTTCAATTAACATAAAGTGAAAACCTTTGTAAATTAATTGGATGCTAGTTCTTCTCTCTCATCTTCAGCGCTAATAAGCCCACACGTCTTCTCGCTTATCAGTTTTTTATATCGGCATTGATTTCTATGCAGAAAGCGAGGAAATTTTTAATTTACATCTCAACCACCATCTATCGAACATGCGTGTTGAAACAATTTAAAGCTTAACTGCAAAAAAACAGTTTATTAATTGAACCATCCTTGTCAACAAAATTACAAATACATATTACAAAAAAAGATAACTTTTAGAAGTAATGCTTCAAGTTTTTTATTCTGTGGCCGTGGTTTTATGTGCTTGTGTGTAAATGTATCAAATAATAAATGAGTCACGTTTAATTGTGTATAAAAATTATTGTAAATTTATTTAGAAATCGTGAGATGCGGTCTGGTGTTGTAGGTTTCAGAAAAACATTTTCTTTATCGTGCCAACGTTTCGATCTTTATTGAGATCATCTCCAGGGCTCAGTGTTTGTCTTCTGTGAAATTGTGCCATTCTTGCGTGTCGTGTCGAGAGTGCCTTACACCTACATCACACCAGACCGCATCTCACGATTTCTAAATAAATATCGATTAACGGTCACTAATCACCACACATTATTGTAAATAGATAACAATAGCCTAAATTAAATAAACTCCTAGACACTTTGTTTGGATGGTTTTAGATCGACACAAAAACAAAAAAAAACATTTTCTGAGTGCCTTATAAACATACAAAATAAGAGAGCTAACATTTATAATTGTGGTCCGCTACGTCTTATCAACACGAAACAAATCCTTCAACTGATATTATTTAGAGATATTGTTCATATTGTGGCTAAGCGCCAGCTTCAGTGGAAGTCTTTCGCTTCAATCACAACCTACAAAAAGGACAAAAAAAGAGAAAATGTGTGGACAATACTATTTAAGCTGACTGACTATAATGACTGACAAACTCATAAAATATTAATTTAAAAAATAATAGGATGCAAAAATTTATCAACAATAATTATTAAGAATTAGTTAAATAGGTAGAACATGAAATAGGTCATTGCCAGCCATCTCATTCTTTGTTGTACTTTTCCTTTCCTTCTCGGATTTTGTACCTATTACATTACTTATTTTTCCAACTCTGCAGCCAAATTTTATTCATGCTCTCTAAGCTTCTCTAGCTTTCCTTCCAATTGCCAGCCTCTCTCTAACTCAGAGCCTCGTCAGTCGAGGTAAAATATACGTATAATAAACACAAAATACATTTAAAATCATGGTAGTTAAATATATTTAAATAGTGGTAGCATTCATACTGTCCCAGAGTTCTCGATATTCCTCATGGTAATTGGGAAAGTAGCACCTCCAATATACCTAAAATACTTGTAATTACCAATTCCACGTCAGAGTAACACACCCAATCATGAAAAATAATCTATTAGTGTAACTTTTTTTAAATGATTGACATTATCTATTCAGACGAGTTTCTTGAGCAATAGAGAAAACAATGCATATTTATTAATAACTTTTTTTAAATTTGTGAACAGATCAAGGTTTACGATTATTTAATAAGGTTTTATTTATCTTAATGATCTAAATGATTTGAAAAGTAAAAAAAAACACTAAGCCTTTCAACGTCATACTTTTAATGAAACGTCTCCACCACGATAAACGTTAATAAATTCCAAGTACCTCCATTAATGATAAAGCAATGCAACATGGGTGTGGCGTATTTCTTCACGTAAATGGCATACTTGAGATAACGAAGTGCTTAGAGAGAATTAACAAGAAATTAACTATGACATGATATACGTTCCAAATATGTTTCGAAATGTCGCCTTCAGGGAAACAATGGTCCATGTACCACTCTTGTCAGTTATGGTAGTTCTTTTACGTTTCTAATTTTCAAGAAGAAAAGTAATTTACTCTTTCCCCTTGAAATGTGGGGACGACAGGCTGAGTTACTATTGTGCCAGCAATTATCAATTAGCTTCACATTTAATTGTAAGCCCCGGCGCATTCCCTTCCGTTCGGTGTTGGTTCACTTTCTTCTCGCTTTGAACAGCCTTTGAGTTTTCTTCTGGTATCTTTGAAACTTTCCTCTGGTGAAGTGGGCTTATCACTTCGAGATATCCATTTCGAGACTGGTTTTAAACCTCTTAATTGGGCTCATTCACGTTTTCATCGTCTAGTTATCTGTTTAAAGCAAAAACAAAACACGCAACAACTCAAAGATTTGGCATAAAAGGCTAACCGGGCGAAGGATTCAAATTGTACCCGGTCGCAGGACCTTTTATCATCCTTGTATGTTTTCATTGAAATGATAAATCGAACTAATTTATAAATTTTCCTTGCGAATATTGTAGTTTCATAACAATATTTTAAATCATTTAAAAAAGTTTCCATGTCCGCATAAAATTTTCTTCTTCAGGCTACTACTCCAATTATTAAAACGGTGTCTGTCACGCAGGGTGTATTATATATTTCCTAACGATTTGTTGTAACACTTAATTTTTAAAAAATCATTCAGCAAATTAAATCTAATCTACTTTCGACTTGTCATTCACACACAGGTTTATTTATAAAATTAACACCTGTAATTTTTTTTAACCGGTGCAAGAATGGCAAAACGGTTTCATTTTCGGTTTCTTAAGACATTTTAAAGTTGTTACCCAGTCGAAAACGGCGTTGCGCAAAACATGCTTCTCGAAAAGAAGAAAATACGAAAAAGTGTGCGGTTAATTTTTTTTTAAATATCAACTCTAAAAATATAAGAGTATTATTGTGAATCAGTCTTAAAGTTTATGTAAATGGTACCACTCGATTTACTCAACTTTAAAAATAATTTGCACCACCTAAATTCAGGCTATTAGGGGTGAACCTCGTGTCAACTCGACCAGAGCTTGTTAAAAAATCTTGGAAGAAGCCTTAAAAATTAAAGCAATTAATTATTCTTTTCATCTGAAGTTTTTGGTTGAGTTGAAAAATTAATGTCACGAACGGGATTCGAACCCACGACCTTCGGCACAATACGCCGCTGATCTAATCACTTGTGCTATGGTGACTTCCATCCCCTCGGACACCAACTTCCCATCATAACGTATAACCGTTCGAACTTTCCCTCTTTTTGCCATTTTTCATTTCAACCAAGAACCTTAGATGAAAAGAATATTTAATGGGAATAATTAATATGGTCAATTATGGCCACTAAACAAATATGGATTAATTTAATACTTAAAATTAAAGTTCACGATACTTTGATAGAGATGTTTTGAGAGCAATTATGGCTGTCAATCCACTGTCGAGTATCAAGAAACTTGAGGTGATTTGGTCAAAGTTGGAATGGTACCCAAGAACTGCAGAAGCATTATTCACGTTTCGAAATGCAGTAAAACTCAGCTTTTCCATTCATCAAACTTATACGAAAA